AGAAAATTATATTAAACAATCACAAACACTTAAAAGTGTTTTTTGAACAAGCACATACCATCTTCTTTTCCAAAAAAAGGTTTTTATGGCTGAAAAATCTTTTTATGACGAAAAAATATTCAAAATTTTTTTAACGTAATTAGGAGCACTTTAATTGTTTAAAAAAAACATTTATTTCCAAAATCAAACGTATGTTACAATCTCTCCCAATGTGGTCATTTGGCATTTTCTAAACATAATCGACATCGACTCACGAGTCTTCTTTGTTTAATGAAAATCCAATGTGCATACTCCACTTTGTTCAGAAGGGCAAAATGGCAATTCAACGAAGTTATTATGAAGCATAATTCAAGTTGGCATCGCGAAAAATCCAGATCCTCTTGCGAGGATTTCAGATATTTGTGAATCATGTTCGTACATTATACATCGTGTGATTAAAAATTATTTTAAATATTTTATTTAAAATTAAACACAAATAGTACTTGACAAAAACTAACAGCACGATGTATGATGAACAGACACGATTCACAGATTTCCACAATCCTCACCAAAAGATCTGGAGAGGATCCTGTTGGGTGAAAAACGACAATTCTAAATGTGTTAGATTAGTACTATGATTGATTATGATTGATTTTTTTAATGTAAAAATATAATTTTTCGTTAAAATAAAAAGTATCGAAACTTCTCGTTCATGTTTTTTTATAAAATACTAAAATGACGCGACTTGTGTACTGACTTCAATTATAAAATCCCCCTCCCACCACCTCTAACATACATCAATCATTTCATCACACAATACATTACCACTTCACCCCTACTTCCCAGTTAATGGAAGCCACCTGGGTTGCATACGCTGCCGCATGGCTAGGAGCTCTAGCTCTCATCCTCCTCTCCCGCCGCCTCCGCCGCTGCAAGCTCAACCTCCCACCAGGACCAAAACCCTGGCCCATCATTGGAAACCTCAACCTCATAGGCCACCTTCCCCACCGTTCCGTCCACGAGCTCTCCCAAAAATACGGCCCCATCATGCAGCTCAAGTTTGGATCATACCCCGTCGTCGTGGGATCTTCAGTAGAAATGGCCAAGGCCTTCCTGAAAACCCACGACGTCACTTTTGCCGGTCGCCCCAAATTTGCAGCCGGCAAGCACACCACCTACAACTACTCAGACATCACTTGGTCCCCGTACGGCCCATATTGGCGGCAAGCCCGTAAAATGTGCATCATGGAGCTTTTCAGCAACAAACGCCTAGAGTCGTATGAATACATTAGAAAGGAGGAAATGAGTGCCTTGCTTAAAGGCTTATATGACTCCTCCAACTCCAACATTTTGCTCAAAGACCACCTCTCAACCGTGAGCCTCAACGTCATAAGCCGGATGGTGCTCGGAAAAAAGTACACCGACGAGACTGAAGACACCATCGTGAGCCCCGATGAGTTCAAGAAGATGTTGGATGAGTTGTTCTTGCTCAGTGGGGTGCTGAACATCGGCGATTCAATACCTTGGCTTGACTTTTTGGACTTGCAAGGGTACATAAAGAGGATGAAGACTTTAAGCAGGAAGATGAATAGATTTTTGGAGCATGTGTTGGATGAACATATTGCAAAGAGGGAGGCTAGCGGGAAAGACTTTGTTGCAAAAGACATGGTTGATGTGCTACTGCAGTTTGCTGATGATCCTGGCCTTGAAGTTAAACTTGAGAGGCATGGGGTCAAGGCATTTACTCAGGTATGATTTACTGTCGATCTATAAATATTTACTCTAGTCCGAGGCAAAAGGCCTAGGGGGCCCAAGCTCAAACTACAATTTATATATTTTTTATTTTTTAGTAATGTTTTTTTATTTTTCGTATTCCAACTTCTCTAAATTACATATAAACTACATATTAATATTACCATATGGGGAAGTGTTATTAGTACTTCAAAATCTCATTCTACACTTCTCAAGTGTATTTTTCTTTCTAAATATAGAAAATTTGAAGTGCCAATAACAATTCCCTATCATATTTGTCAACAAAAACTCTAGATAATTATCATTCTAACCCTCTCATCAAAGCTGAGCAAAAATAAAAATCAAACACGAGCAATTTAGTAATTACATGTAACATAAAGTTTGTTGTTTTTTACACTAACCTCAGCATAACATGCCCCATTTAAAAATAAATAATTAAATAACTAAAAATTAAAAATTTGCTCATGTTAGAAGAAACTACCTATCATTGTTCTATTTTTCATAATTGACTTTTTTTTATTAGGATTTTAAAAACTATCACAATCCTTAATAAAAAAACAAAATGAAGTAAAATTGTTCATACACAGTGTGTGTGGGCATCTACATATATATATATGATAATAATATATTTATTTAAATCTATTTAGTCTGCTGAAGTTTCCGTCTAGGTCGCACCTAGGGGTCGTCTGTGGGCCTGAGCACTAGGTTCCAGTCCACAGGCAATAGTGTCTAACATTCCTTAGAACATTAATTGACTATAATTATTGACATAGTTCTTAACGTTTAGTAGATGTGTGACATATGCGATGTGAAATGCTAGTGTCATGTACGTTAGATATACGAGAATTGTTAGGCTGCATTTAGGTCTCACAGTACAGTAATTGGTCATAGTTTTCCGCTCACACGTAAGAAAAAGATTCAAAACGAGCCGAGAGAAACACTGATATCTTATTTGTGACTGAAAATATTGAGATTTATTTTGGTGTACTCTTGCTCAATATTTTGTGTTGATGGATTCTTTGCTATTAGGACTTAATTGCCGGGGGAACAGAGAGCTCAGCGGTGACGGTGGAATGGGCAATTTCGGAGCTCCTACGGAAGCCGGAGGTATTCAAGAAGGCAGCGGAGGAGTTAGACAGGGTGATTGGAAAAGAGAGATGGGTTGAGGAAAAGGACATTGTTAATCTCCCATATGTTGATGCCATTGCCAAAGAAACCATGAGGCTACACCCAGTGGCACCCATGTTGGTGCCAAGGCAATCCACGGAAGACTGCCAAATCGCTGGCTATGACATTCCCAAGGGCACCAGAGCCCTAGTCAGTGTGTGGACTATAGGAAGAGACCCTGAATTGTGGGACAACCCTGAGGAGTTCTGCCCCGAGAGGTTTCTAGGAAAGGACATTGATGTCAAAGGCCAGGACTACGAGTTGCTGCCTTTTGGGTCAGGCAGGAGGATGTGCCCTGGCTACAGTCTGGGCATAAAGGTCATTCAGTCAAGTCTGGCTAATCTTTTGCATGGGTTTACATGGAGATTGCCTGATAACATGAAGATAGAGGATTTAAGTATGGAGGAGATTTTCGGGCTTTCGACACCGAAAAAATTTCCCCTCGTTGCAGTCTGCGAGCCTCGTCTTCCACCTCATGTTTACTCACTGTGATCACGTGAGTCTCTTCGTCTCAGCTAGTTCCCTCTCAATAAAGTAGTACTTGGGAAAGTACGTTATGAGTGTGTTTGGACCCGATGTTGAGTGCTTGGGAAAGTCTGTAATCCCTATCCAGACCTTTTACTGTATTCCCATTTCTGATAGGATTATGATTCTTCCATCTTCTCTTTTCATCCATTTCTTTCACGTTCTCTTATTTTATCTTTCTTTTGTTATAAAAAATTCATATAAGATGTTAACGTAACTTAACCATAACCGTTCAAATAGAAAAAAATCGTAAAAAGAGAAAAAAAAGATAAAAAAGAATCCTACTCCTTTTTTATATGGTCAGAGAAGTCCAAAAATATAAATAATTATTGAAGATATTATATTAAATCACAACTAACGAGTCATGACTCATGACCAGCCATTCCTGTCGGCCCTTTAAAATGCCATGATTGAGATAGAATGATTGAAACTGGAAGTTGCATGTATTTAGGGTTTTTGGTTGTAAAATTCGGATCAGGATCTCTTTCGGATCTTCATTGGGAGGATCGTATTTGCGGCAGTAAATTATTTAATTTTTTAATCTTTTTTACGTGGAATTATGATTTTTAGCCGTCAGATGTGTGGTGAGCGGTTAGAATTGATTGATTCCTAGGATCTTCATAATGATAATCTAGAGAGAATCCAGATCGTTTAAATTCTTGATTAAAATTCATTGACTAAAACTTAATGACAAAAAATCTTGGTGAATAATATACAATGGAGCATATAAGAATGTCTTTGAAAACTAAGCAACAACAAACAATACGATCGAGCCGAGATTCTTGAGTCTGAAAGCTGAAATTGAGGTTCTTACATGATTTCACATGAACATACTATAAACATTAACATCAATTGATGCATAAACAAATTCTTTCGGCTAGACTTAAATCGATTCCACAAAGCCAACTATTTTATGGTCTAAACTAAACAACCAGAATAACATTGTCGATCATTGAACTTTAAGAGTTATGAACGAAACTTAAAGACGATTATTTAAATTCACATGAATATATAAAAAAACCATAAATCGATGCCATAAACAGACTTTTCTACTAAACTTGAAATCGATACCATAAACCACCTTTTTTTTTGTACAAAACAATGAGAATGAAAGTAACTCCAAAATTTTTATAGTTTTCCCAGAAAAAAAAAATTAAGCAACACCAAAACTAAAACAACCACAATTCCCCAAATTAAATATAAAAATATAGAACCAAAACACACCCAAAAGTATGATTCAAAAACTAAAATGGGCCTTGGTTTGCTTGTTTGTTTGTTTGTTTTTGGTGTTTAATAAAATAACCTTTTAACAAAAAAAAAAAAAAAAGCTAAATTGACCCCACATAAAAGCATATCCTCCACAAATAAATAAAAAAATCTGACAAATAAACAAACAAAACAAACGTAGGTGGGCCCTGTGTTATGTCCATCACACGATTCACAACCCACATGCCAGTATATGGGTCCTGTGCTATGCACTTTCCCACACGCCAGCTTCGATTCGATTTTTGCCAATTTACGATTTCGAATACTAAATTATTTGAACACCAAATCATCATGCATTCAAATAAAAAGCGGCAATTAAAAGAAATATACATTGATCAGCCAACAAACAAAAAAATCAAGAACCCAAGAACTCAAGCAAAATTAGTCTCCTGATATTCGTAGCAACATCAACAACAACAAGCAAAAAGAAATATTCAAATAGCATTAAAGGAAATATGCATTGGTCTATTGATATTGGCAGCAACAAGCAAAAAAAATCCAAATGTCCTTGGCAGTGGCATATTCTTTTTCAAACAGCAACTCCTGTACACAATCAAACAACATATAGTCAAATCAAACAACTTATTTCAGAGAGCAAACAAACAACTTCTTATTTCAAAGAGCAAGCAAACAACACATCAAACAACAAGTTTACAATTCGAATTAGTAAGGAAGGTGCTAAAAAACTAAAGTTACATACATACCATCAGTAGTAAAAATGTGATAAGTTAGGACTGAATAGTTTCTGAAGCCCTAGTGCTAGATGTGCCGTCACTCCTTTTTTTCTAGAACATATAAAAATCAAGAACTCATTAGAAAATAAGAAAGTAAGCACACATACATCAACATCTTGTATTCTCTCATCTGTGTCAAACACCAACCCACCCCTTTCCTTTCCCTCCCCTTTTGAGTTTCAATCCAATTTTCAATACAAAAAACAAATCCATTCACACATATACTAAATTATAGAAATACACATTCACACATAAGGTGTGGCCATTGTCCTTAACAACCCATGTGATTTTGATTGTCCTTAATGTTGTGTTACCAACGTCGGTTTATAAAATCCCAACCCACCTGCATAGTATTAATACAAGCTTTTATCTTTAATACACGCCACATGGCATGCTCTTAATGGATGCAAGTTAGAACTTTGTGGTCTTTCCCACACCTTAGCATTTTGATTTCTAAAATATCATAAGCCGCTTTCCTTCTCCAGAATCCCCAACTTCAGTTCTCTCCGTTGCATCCTCCATAGCCACTCCATTAAATTTCCTCTAAGATTCCTAGTTTTCTATGCATCTTTGTTGGTATTCCCAGCATGTCGGCTCGACCTATGGGATGAGGGTAAACCCCGTCCAATCCAACCAATGTCGAGCCCTACCCTTTAATTCTTGGCAAAAATAATAGATGCTCTTATTGATTACCAACATATGGTAGTTTTAAGTGATACTATTACAATTTAGGCCGCACATCACTCAACAAGAGCTAACCTCACAAGAATACAGTAGTACAACAACAAAACAAGAGTAAATTTTAATTCAGCCCAAGAGAAAATGGAAAACCAGGAGAACTCAACAATATTCCTAATCTCAAATATGAGAAAAGATAGAGAAGATACCAAGGAGGGAGGACAAAGGATGAAGAGTTGTGAGATGTCGCAAAGAAGGGATGACGAGGGTCATCGCAAAGAGCTAAGGTTGTGGGCTGCCTGAGGAATTGTTGATATTTTTTGATGAAAAGCCATGAGTGAGGTGGTCGGCTAAGTGAAAAAAGAATGAAAGTCTAAAAGTATGAAATGGGGGATGTGAGGTCGTGAGTGAGGTGAGGGTGAGGTGGATGAGCCTTAATTAGGATGGGATCCATTGCTTTGCAACTTGGTGAAACTAATTTTTCAACCTATTAGACCATGACATACGTGTGTATATATAATTAATCAATTTATTATTAATAAAACGGTTCGGTTTGGTTCCGGCCAGTTCTTGTTCATTCGAAACCAGAACCAGAACTGGTTTGAACTAGTTAGGTTTGATTTTTGACTCAAAGTTGACTTTTTCGGTCAACACGGTTCTTTTCGGTTTTTTTTTTCATACGGTTTGATGTGGTTTTGCGGTTTTTATGCCCACCCTTATGGATCGTTGGGTATTTCTGATTAAGGGTCTAGACTTTTTGGACAAAAAAATATAAATCAAAAAAATTTGAATTGTTACTGTAGCAACACATTCCTAATTTTACGATTTTATTAATTTTAAAAGAGTGAATTGACCAAAATGCCCTTAGAGGCAAGGATTTTGATTTTCATTGACCACCGTATAGTGAAACTTATGACCCATTCTTTTAGCATATTTGTGTAGTAATCGTTGCCAAGAACTCGTAGGTGCAAGTGGATTTGAATTTGTACCTGAAATGAAGATCTTACGAAACACCAAATATCGAGGACAAATTGGTAATTCCGTGTTGGAAAGATATTTTGGGCTTTGTTTTGTGAGCCACGTGGGGCCCACACCCACTCTTTCCTTATTCCTGTGTCCCATTTTCTACATTACCTATAGATTAGATTAACATATATAAGAATTAGCGTATTGATGGAATTCATGAAATTATGCTACGTCCTATGTGATGCACAGGTATGCATATTATTATGGATGGCTTGGTTGTATTTATGGTCATGAATAATATTTCATTGATTAGAATTATCAAATTACGATTTACCGTTACATTATCATATTTATGTTATCTATTCATCGTGTGCTATACTGGTATTCGTACTCACCTGGACCAGGACCAGTCTTCATGTGTATGTTCACATCGCACCATACACTCACTTTGAATCCATTGTGGGTGCCAGTCCTGTACCAGATTGCTAAAGGCAATTAGAACTTGTATGTGACGCTCATAGCGCCAGTCTTCACATTATTGTAATACTATAGCATAAATCATCATTACATCTAGTCATGTTCATGTCAGAATACTTCTGCATGAGCTCGTGTGTGAGCATATGTTGATGAGCATCCGATATTATATGTTCATTTACACAAGATAATGTGATTATTGGATGTTATATGTTTTATATGTGAAATATTGTGACTTACCTTATTTCTGAAGTATTACTATTTACGGTAAGTGTTTTCATGCTATACGTAGTATATATATTTGAAAACTATACTTGTTTTATGGTAATGGGTTATACGTTTTTGAAAACGTTTTACAAAACTTTATTTTTAGGTACACCCACCCTTGTTTTTCGCTCTTCCAGGCTTTAGTGGCAGAGTTTTTGTGCCAACGAGGATTCTTGGCAAATGTTGGAATATGAGATTATCTTTGATAGTATAATTCTCATTTTACTTTTATTGTACTTTACTTGTGCTTTATCATTATGTATGAAATGAGTTCATTCCCACTTACATGTGCACTCTTACATTTAGGCACTTTTAGGTTTAAATTTATTTACATTTTTCACCTCACTACACTTTATGACTTCGTTATCTTCCGGGTGTCAGATAGAACAACTCGATTCGAAGTCTAGGTGGATATTCTAGGTCGGAGTGTGTCAGTTACTGTTGGCATACGTGTCAAAATCCGGATTGTTGAGTCACGATGTTTTTGTAATCTAATGGTCCATATTAATTAAGTTAATAAAAATTATAAAAAAATTACAGAAAAATATAAGTATCTAACCATGCTCTTCCACCTCACACCACATTTTAAATATTTTCAAATACTTTCAACTAATCTTTCTCCCAAATTTTTCATATACTTTCAACCAATCTATCCACAAAATTATTACGGAATCATGACAAGTGACGCTACTGTGGATGCATATTTCTTCCTCATTCTTCTTGGGCAAAATTGCACCTACAAAACAATTAACACCTCAGGGTCAAGGCCAAGAGCCTCACGCGCCCACGATGAATGGGTGGGGGGGGGCACTTTGGCCGAAGAACCTCCTATGCCAAAGTTAGAATTTAGAGAGAAAAGTGTTTAGAGAGTTTTTGGAATTTTGCAAGAGTGTGAACTTCGGTTTTTAGAGAAAAGTGGGTAATATTTATAGGGTATGGCCGGTCCTCCTTGGAGAAAGAGTGGCCGGTCCTTTATGTATATTTTGGGTGTTATTTGGTGATTTAATTAGAAATTATTATATTGATTAGGAATAAATATATTAATTGGCTAATTAACATTATAAAAGGAATGTTTTTGGGAGGTTATGTAATTTAATAAGAAATATTTTGTAAGTTATGTGATGATAGCTTTAATTGATTAGCTAAAAGAGGGAAAAAAAGGTAAAAATATATGGAATGAGATAGGTTTTGGGAATTACCTTGTAAAAGGGATTTGATGAGATGGATTTTGAATTGTTACCTTTTTTGGGCATTTTTGACTTGGTTGAAGGATGATTGCCCGCTGCTTGCGCGTAGAAATCCCGTTGTAACTCAAGGGTATTTTTGTCCTCTCCTGTCCAGAAATCCACGTGTTGCCTTGTGATTATTTTTGGCTCCACAGCTACGAAATTAGTTAAAAATCTACTCGAAAATCTAACCAGGCTCTTCCACCTTACACCACATTTTAAATATTTTCAAATACTTTCAACCAATCTTTCTCTCAAATTTTTTATCTACTTTCAACCAATCTATCCACAAAATTCTTACAGAATCATAACAAGTGACACTACGAAATTAGTTAAAAATCTACTCGAAAATCAATCCACAAAAATTGTACTTTCGGATCCTATCTGAAATTAAAAATAAAATTATCTTTTATTATTTCATAAAAAAAATTTTTTAATACCAATAGCCTAAACTATTCAGTTTAGGGATAGAGATGCACTTAGTCTGTTAATGTTCACTAAATGCAGTAATTGCTTGCTCAATTTGGATGGGCAATTTGGCAGGGATGGAGTTGGTTTAAGAAGAGTCATTAAGAAGAATTAGAATGTAAGTGGCGAAACAGCAAAAGTTTACTAGTGCGGAGTAACTTAATGGGTCTGCATTCTTTGAGCTAGAAAGCGGCTGCTTGCTTGAGCGGATTTACTCTTGGACGTCTTTACAAGTCGTGCCAACACATAACATGTAAACTCATCTAGGTGATGTCAAGCCACAATCCATGTTCCCATATAGGTTATCAATCATTGTATTTTCTGAACATGTTCTTGGTTTTGGACAGGAGAGCCTCTAGTTGAAGGGGTTGCTGTTCCATATGGTGAAAAGTATGACGCAGACTGGGTGCGTGACGAAAAATACAAGGCTTAATCACACCTATGGCACCTGAATTAGTGCTCTCGGTTACTTAATCCGGATCAGGCTGCTCATGAAGTTTCACCTCCTGGTGGTAATTTTAGTGACAAGCAATTGCATCAACTCGAACGCCATCTAATGACTTTCATCCAAATGGATCATACAAGGGTTATCTTGGGGGTCCTAAGTCTTCAAGCTAAACCTATTTCTAGCTTAAGCTGTCCCACTTATCTAGCTAAAAGTTGCTTTGAATTTCTGTAACCCTAACCCTTTTCTAACCCTACTTGTTTCAAATTGGGGATGGGATGGATGTACACAATTTTTACTGCTCAATGAATATTAGATTGAATTCTCATTTTTCTGATCATCAGTATGAATTATTGTACTATTAAATTATTCTATATCGTTTTGCTTGTTCATCAATACGTGATTTCAAGCGACATGAATATAAATGAGTAGACCTAAACACAAGCCCAATGAGACCCTTGCAAGTTGTTTACTAATTGTGGTCATAAGCAATGGCAAATAATTCAAGTCTTACAAAGACTTTCATCAGTTGAATCAGCAAAACTCATCGGCCAAACTTGGGATTTGGGTGGGTTTGGTGCAAAGGGTGGAATCTCCACAGATTTTGATGACCTTTACTCTCCAAATATTTTGTGAAATCTGCTTGGTGGGTTATTCAAACCCTTTGATTGGTGCACTACAGTTGAGCTAATTTTGAACACAAAGGAAGAATTGATGGAAAATTGACTTGGAACATTGAATAGAATATTTTGCACTCCAGAAACGAATGGAAGATTAAAATGGTGAGTCCAAAATAATTTAATCAAGGTCATTTTTATTCTTTCTATAACCTTATGCACTAGTAATAAATACTTGTAATATGAATTCTTTATATGGAAAGCATAGAAATTTGAAGTTGAAAACAGAGTACTGTGTTTCTTCAAAGTACTTGTTTTTCCTTGTTATAATAATAATATAAAAAAAAAAGCTACAAAAATCATACACAAGGGGAAGATCCTCGCAACAAATAAAACAACTCTAATGTATAAGTACAAATATATTGTTTGTTTAGTGTCTATACAATTCTATTTTCGACTAAAAACTTGTAATCAGTTCTTTCTGTGCATATTTCGCCTTTTTCGTTTGTTTCTATGAGGATGTATGACCAAATCGTGCTAAAGCATGTGCATTTTTTCCCTAACGACATCAATTGCTTATTTGGGAGAGTACAAATCAGTTCCAAGAATTCTATAAAGAGCAGTATCAGAATAAACGGTACTAGACCTCAATGACTTAATCCGGTTTCTATACCGATGAGCTTTACGTCTCCTGTGGAGGCCCTTCGCCCTCGTTTCCACCACTTTTTCTTCACCTTTGCTCTCGTTTTTCACCACATCACACTCAACTTGCCCCTCTCTTTCAACCCTATGCACACTAACTTTGTTTTCTTCCTCAGTTGGAACAACGTACACAAAGGGTCCGATTGGGATGTCATTAGTCAAGTCCATAAGAGGCTCTAAGGTCTTGACCACACTGCTCATCGTTGGTCTACATTTGGGGTTGTGGTTCAAGCATTGGTGAGCCAATGCAGCTGCTTTTCTAGCCCCTTCGGTTGAGTACTGACCCTCGAGCCTAGGATCCATCACGCGGTCAAGTTTATGTGTGTCCTTCAAAAACGGTTTGGACCACTCCACTAGGTTCTGTTCTCTACCATGACGGCTCTCATCCACGGACCTTCTACCAGTTAGTAGTTCCAAAAGAACTACGCCGAAGCCATATACATCGCTCATTGCTGTTAAATGACCTGAAAACGAAGAGTATATGATTAATGAAAATTTAAAATTTCATGCTATTATGAATAAATGAAAGTAGTAACTTGAAATAAAAAAACAATTTGTACAGTCTTAATTAAACATGTGTAGCGTTTTCGGTGTGTAGTTGATATAATAGTGGTCGGTTGACATGGTACAAATAGCAATACTCAAGATACCAACTTGCATTACCTGTCTTGACGTATTCTGGAGCTGCGTAGCCATGAGTTCCCATGACGTGCGTTGTAATGTGTGTTTCATCTCCTTCCGGGCCATCTATGGCAAGACCGAAATCAGACAGCTTAGCCGTGTAATCCTGCAGGAAAAAGGAAGACATAATTTCAGATGCGCAATATTTACGCATGTATGACGAGCAGAAGAGAGCTAATTAAGGAGAGAAATTTACCAAGTCCAGTAAGATGTTCGAAGTCTTAAAATCGCGGTATATGACTGGCTTTTCTTCCTCATGGAGGCAACTGAGGCCTTTTGCAGCTCCAATTGCTATCTTGATTCTTGTTAGCCAAGGCAGGGTTCCACCATAACCTGCATTAATGAACAAACAAACAAATTCATAAATTTTTCTGATCCAAATATTTTGTGCTCGTTTCAAAATTAAAAAAAACCATAAAAATCATGCATGCATGATCAGAATTGTACGTTTAAATAGCTGGTGATCTAAGTTGCCTCTCTCCATGTACTCGTACACCAGAAGCCTGTGATCGTCTTCACAGCAGTACCCGATCAAGTTAACAAGATTTGGGTGCTTCAGTTGCCCAAGAACAATCACTTCAGCCTACAACATAAAAAAGTGTTTGATAATTAGCATTTTTCCACAACTTGGGAAGCATATGATATGATTAGGATCATAGCTTTGAAATGGTAAAAAAAGAAATACTACCAGCCACTCCCTATGTCCTTGTTTGCCATCTAAATCCAAGACCTTAACAGCGACAGGCTGAGCTTCCAATCCAGGCCTAAGCTTGTCATCAATGAAACCTTTGTACACCTGCCCGAACCCGCCTTCACCGAGATAGTTGCTCTTGGAGAAACTTTGTGTAATCTTTTTAAGCTCCTTGTGTGAAAAAATATGAAGGTTTGAGCCAATAAGTGAATTTGACAGATCACTGAGGACTGTGCATACCGATGAGTTACTCAAATCCGAGAGTGACAATCTCCGCAATGAGATTTCTTTCGACGTTTGGGATTTTTGATCTGCAATTGGTTTGTTGGCCTTGAAACAACTAGGAGTCAAGAAGGTGAATGCTAGTTTCTTGAGACTCATATTTGCTGAAGCTACAAGTTAGTTTAAAAAATGCATACGGTTGGATTGGATCAAACTAGAGAATAATATGGGGGGTAGATATAGGGCTATAGGGTAATAATTTATATAAACTGCAAAAAGAAGTCAAGATCCCAATGATGATAACCAACCTTTTTTTCCTTTCCCTTTTTGTTGATATTTCATGTGTGGTACAAGAAAAATATATCATTCTTAATTTTCTAAATATTATTTTAATTTCAGTCATGAGTCTAAAGTTGTGTATAAATTTTGGTCCCTCCAAGACTTGGAAGGTTTACTGCAAAAAGGCACGTTTGGATGTTTCATATTATGAAGGGCCAAGTCTGAAGATTAATTTGCCTTGATCATGTGCTAAATTAATTAATGGAGTTTCTTAGTAAGTTCAAGTGTTGGTCTTTGTGAGACCTCAGAGAACCGCTGTTTTTTTTTGCGGCAACGACTAAGTCGAATGGAAAAACCCATGTTCTCACTTCTCATTTCCTAGTACTCCGAAAATTCAGTGCATCAGATTAGGAAGCTGGATTAGAACACGGGATCTCAAGTGAAGTGGTTTCCAGCATAAGATCTCGAGTATTGGGGTGAATGAACGTAACCCTTGAGCTATAAGAACCCGCTTGCAAGCATGGTCAGTTTTAATAGTTTTATTTAATCATTGATCTGTACAGTCTGACTTTAGTGTTAACATTTGTGCTTTGGAAAGCTGAATCTCTTCATATCATTTTCGGTTCTTTTGGTTCTAAATTAATATGCGCTCTTCGGCTCTAAACACAACAGTTAGATGACAGATTGAAAGGTTTTTTGGTAAAACTTAGGAAGATAAACACTAAAACAAATCCCTATCGTCGACTCGTTAAGATGTTTCATTTGTTCATAAATTCGACCACTACAATTGCTTGTGGCATGACACATTAATTCGGTGAGTAAATTTAAAAACTCGGGTACATAGTGAGAGGTACATCCGTTCTAACTCTTGTGGCTGCAACTCTGTATGAAACCATGAGCTTAAAGAAACGCCAGCCTCGGTCATGTTACATTAGACGATAGGACTTGTGTTGGTTACAACAAACATATTCATTGCTTGAAATCCGTCGCTTGACACGATGAAAAAAGAAGATAGAAAAGGTGAGAAAAAGAAAGAAAAGATATATCACATTCGTTGCTTTATTGCTTTCCTTAAAGTTGTGTGGGACTGCAGGCAGGACCTGATGTATGCAACCGAGACGGACTCACCAAGTTACAGTTTTCTGGGAGGAGGTCAACACATTTTGTTTAGACAGTCAATGTTCTTGCTTCCAGGTTATAACCAAGAAGGTGAAGTAACTATTTATTTTGACCTTCCATGTAATTTCCATTCAAACATGTGTGTTGTCTTTTTAAGAAAAAGAAGGGATTTGTGGTTCGATAATCATTTCAGTTTTGAGTTTTTATTTTTATTTTGTTATTATTTTATGAAGAAGAAAAAATATTAGAGAGATAAAGGATGAAAGAGGAAGAGAAAAGACGTTAGATGGATGTAAAATAGCTAAATAAGTGTATGAAACGGTATGCAAAATTAAAATAGGAAAAATAAGGATCCAGTCCCTGGTCACTAATGTTCATAAACTGAAACTTTATTGGTTTTTAGAAGTCCCTTGACTTTGTACACCTCAGCATTGCATTTTACTATTAAAATAATTCCATGTCATCTTTTTATTTGTTTTACATATTTTAATTTATAACTTTTACTACATTATCACGTTTGTAATTGAAAATCCCAAAATTCTCACTCAAGTTTATGTTTATATTCAAATTCAACATTATTATATTAAATATGTTCTTCAAATTAAATTTTGCCAAAAAAATTTCAAACTTACTTTTTCTCCATGACTATCATATTGCAAAATCATAACAAATGACCATTATATTGCTATGAACGCAATTTTAATTTCATTGGGTACATTCTCTTCTCTTGTTCCTTAATCCATGTACCCAACTTTTATTCTATACTACCATTGTAAAATTTTCTTCTAAATTATTTTTTACCCATATATGTATAACTTTTTCCTATAAGATTTATATAGTATGTACCCTTAAGTATTTTTTTTTTTAAACAAACGATAATATTTTTATTAAGGGGAGGGGGTGGGCTTAGCTTCATAGTGGGCTAGCAATAATGTGGTTCAAACTCGTCTTTGGCGAGAATCGAACCTAAGACCTCTCAGTTATGGTTTGCTTCCATTTTTCTATCCTTTAATCATTTTTTACATTAAGAGTTTATATGGGTACATTGTTTTTTTCTTTCTTTTTTTTTTGTCACATATGGGTTTTAATGTTGAAATTGTGTATGGGTACATTCTTGTGAATTACTATAATTGTACATGGGTACATTCTTATGGGAACATTTATCTTTTATCATGCCATTCAATAAAAACAAACAATTCTTTTCATAACTTATTTTCCACATTTTAATCACCAATTTTTTATTGGTTTAAGGTTTTCTAAGGGTGGAGTTTGTTGTTTAATCCCATAAACGTAAATTTCAAATCTTATGGGATTTTATATCCCATAAATGTGGTAATTTATTTTATTTACTTGCTTTAAATGTTCGGACAAAAAAATTACTTTAAAGGATGTCTATATTACAATATTTAATATAATGTTTAATTTAAAATATAAAATAGTTGACATGGAAATTGATTAATGTTAATATGTTGATGTGTACAAAGTTAAAGGACTTTGATCAAAAATCTAAAAACTAATAAGGTTTCAATCAATGTACACTAGTGATTAAGGACCGCATCTAAAGTATCCCATAAAAATACAACATAAAAAATTGTAACAGCATGTTTGATAATTAACCATTGCGATTTTAATTTTTAGTTTTCATATTTGTGTTTTTTTTTTTTTTAATACATCGATATTTTTACGCTAAGGGGAGGTGAAATTTGGCTAAGACAAACAATGGACAGCCTAATTTGGTATTTAATTCATCATCCACGAGATTCAAACCTAAGACCTCTTACTTTCAAGTGAAGATGAATACTACCAGACCGTAGTATTGAGTAACTTCATATTTGTGGTAGAGATACAAAATAATAATAATAATAATAATACTAATAAAAGGAGAATGGATGGTGAGAGAGTTATAGAAGAATGTAAGGAATGATACAAAATATAAAAAACAAAAGATTAATCTTTGTGTACAACTCTGAAGTTTCTTAGTTTTCACCATTTGGTACATCAATTTTTTTTTTCATCCTAGAGTAGTACCTGAAGTCATAATTTTATGACCCTTTCATACATCTGCTAAAGTTGTTGTTAAATCAGCCGTTAACTGGTGACGTGTGGTCCATGTATATATTAAAAAAAAAATTTAAATGAAGAAAATTAAAAAATATGGGCCGTCCTTTCCAACCTCACCCCATTTCCCAATCCCTTTCGCCATCAAAGCCAGTCTTGATGGTTTTTGGCCGCTGGGTGCAACACCCACAATAAAAAATTGAATTGGAATACAAATCGGGAGAAAATTCGAAAGCTTTAAAAAATCGGTTTGGCTCTCCACCCTCGTATTCTTCTCCAGCCGCTCGGTTTGGTTCTCCATCGCTATTAAATCTAGTAGGTAGGGCTCAAAGGTTCAAGCTCACGGGGTCGTCCATCCTCACTCCAGGATCATCCCAATTCTGATCTTTTCTTGCATAGTGCAGTGAACCCCAACGCCTTTAAGTTGTCATTTCTCAATTCAACACAATGGATCGCCGCTGTCAAATCTGGAAATGGGTCAAGTTGGGGTATGGTAGTGAGGGAGAGGTGGGTCAGGTATGGAGGGATCAGCAGACAAATGAGAGTGAAGTCGAAAATGGAGGGGTAAGGGTGGATGTGCGGGGAGTTAAAGAGGGTAGGTACAGAAGAAAGAAATGAGGGATGGTTGGGTGGGAGCCGGAGGTGACGTAGGAGAGGACGGCCCATATTTATTTATTTATTTATTTTAATTTTTTTAATATCTAGGTGGGCGTCACGCCACCAGTTAATGGATGATTTAACAGCAATCTTAACAGATTGTTTGGACCTAAAATACTAGTTTGGGCCGAGTTTATTCTCGGCCCAGAGGCTGTGCTTAAAAGTTGCTCGGAGTCGTCCGGCTCATGGGCCGCATAGTCAAGGCTTGCCGTGTCCCATTGGGAATCCATAGGATGTGGGTGAGTCCTGTTACGAGAAGGAGTTTCAACAGGATAAGGATGTTGAAGTTCGGGATTGAATGTGGCCTGATAAGAGGTTGAGTTCTGTTTGTACCATACTTAGAGCCTCCGTATTTAGATCTCGTATAAATACTCGGGGGACTCAAATGTAATTATGTAATAAAAGAATGGGCAAATATGTAATAAGTAAGGAGCCCTTATTCTATTAAAGGACTCATCACCTTCCTCATTAGGGAAGGCCATTTCTTAAGCCCCTCTCGTCCTCTCAAAGCTCTCATCCTACGGGATAACTGAGAAGCTCTCCCTCCCTCTTCAACATCTCAGAGAAATAAAATATCAGTGTGGACGTAGCCCAAACATTAGGGTGAATCACGATACATCTTGTGTTATTTACATTCTTGCAGATTCACGGTCGGATTTACGTTGTTCCAAGACCCCTCTGGTTTTGTGCATCAACATTTGGCGCCGTCTATGGGAACCAACACGAAAAGCTATGTCGATTCTCTCTCAATTTTTCACCTCCATCGTGAATCTACAGAAACCCAAAACCAAACACCTGCAGAGTCACTGCAAAACCCATCTCTCAAAAATGCAGAAATGAAAACACCTAAACAAAACCACAGTTTCTTCTCTCTCCTCACCAACCCATATCAGACCCTTCATTCCTTCCAGAGAGATTAACCTGAGCAGCATCAAGCGTGGTGCAGTTGCAGATACCAAACCTCCCCCCTGCCACTTGACAGAGAACAGGAGCCCGCAACGGAGGAGGATCACGCCGTCACCGTCAGATCTAACCAGCGAAGATCCATCCTCCCTTTGTCACTCCTCATCCGCCGTGATCTGGTGGAGCGACATGGGCTATTGCCCATGTTTTGGGTTCAGGAAGGGGAGGAAGCTCGAGACCGATACGGACGAAGCCAAAGATGATAAAACCGACAAAGCCGACAAGACGAAGACG